AGAACTACTGCCCTAGAACCTTTATTAATTCACTCTTTTCCACCTTTTAGTTCACAAAGCTCGAGATGTGACTTCCAGATCACTGGTCAAGTATTAATAATTAGCACTCAGCTTTTATTAAGCAGAGCATTTTAGAGAGAAGGTTTTCAAATGAGTAGGCAATAGACAATGCATATATCTGGTATGGTGACTGCATTGAGGACAGCGCCTTTGAGAAGAGTCCTTGTCACGTGGGTGTCAATTGTCTTAGGTAACTGCATTCGGAGTTGTTTATATGCTGTGAAACTCTATCTGCTGGCTTTGGAGTTCTTGCCTATTGGAGAGGTCATGCGGAGTTGTTTTTTTCATGAGAAACTCTATGTTTATTGAAACTCATGATTGAGAGAATTTGGGGCTGCAAGTCAGGCTCCTGGAATGAGACTCCCAGGGAAGGGCAGGAGGCAAGGCTGCCGCCCTTCATAGGATGCTGAGATGGGGCAGCTAACACACTGGAGAGAGCTGGAAAATATGGATTCTGTCTTCTGTCTCTGGACATTGATTCTGGCTAATAAAGGTTGTGAATGGTTGGCAGCTCTCAAGTGGCTACTGGTGAAGTCCCTGGGAAAAAAAATGTTCTTCATTCTCCTGCAGACAGAACTGTGAATAAAAGGAGCAAGTCTTTAAAGAGTCTGAAAAGCTATAATTTCTGGGGGAATACAACATTTTCCTGCCGCTTTGAGAGTTCCTGCAAAACCAACAGTAATGGCTGGAGTGGCATGAGGAGGAATAACAACCGGACAAAGGCAACAACAGCAGCAGCTCATCAATTCACACACTCAGAGCATCAGCAACTGTGATGGAAAAGAGGCCCCTAAGGCAAAGCCCTTAGGAACCACCTGTGTGTAGAGACCCTATAACAATAGTGGATGGATCATCGGGTCAAATACCTTTCTGGTTTTCTCTCTAAAATGGGTGTCTCACTCTCCTAGATTCCTACTCAAATCAAAGTAAGTTAACTAGAGTGACATAGTCAAGCATACGTAACCAGTGCTGTGACCTCATAGAGGGGATGTGGAGGGAAGAAGACATCATTGCTTCCCTCATGGAACCCACACTCTACTTAGCTCATATACTGTGTAACTGGTTCCAGCTGGATGCCAAACATACAGCTCATGTACATAACCGATCAGCTGATTGGATGCTAAATTTAGGGGGATACTGTGATGCTCCCATCATCCCCTCTCTTTCTGTTCCTCTCTGTTTCCTGCTTAGTTGCATATTGCTTTGCCTTGCTTGGACTTGCTTCCCTCTGTAGCCATCACTGGACTGACTTATGTCTTTCATGTCCCTTTCATGCTGGGTTCTGAATTTACTCTTTAGGTTGAACCTGTCCTTCATAACCCTCCCTCCACGGCCCCTCCCAGGGCAGGTCTCAGGCTGCCCAGTCTAGTCTAGGGCATCGCTACTCAAAGTGTGGTCCATAGGTCTAGTTACTTTTCTGCAAAGGGATAAAAACAGAAATGAAGAGTAAGCTGTTAGAAACCTTTTATAGCAGCAAACTGCCAGAACAATTTTATAATTAACAATAAATAATCTAATATATTGATTAAATGTTAATCTAATTTAAAAATAATACAAATCTGACTTTTGTATTTCTTTTCATTTCTTTCTTCTCTCTCTCTCTCTCTCTCTCTCTCTCTCTCTCTCTTTTTTTTTTTTTTTGGTAATTCACTTGGAATATAGTTTACAAATTTTCTCTTCTAAGGATTAAGGAAAAGCAAACCTGCGGTCTACACATGTGGATTGAGAAGTGCTGGTCCAGGGACCCCATCTGGTTGCCAGACCCCAAATCACCTTGTCCTCAGTACTTCATCTTCTCTCTCTAGCCATTTCCTAGCACTGAAGCCACAGAATGACCAAGCCACTGCCCAGAGAGGCTGGCCTAACCGATCCCTGGTACCAAATGAAATGTGCTCTAGATTAGCATTGCCCGGGCTGTGACAGGGCTGGGCTTTTATCCCTGTGGTGAAAGGCGAGTGGACCACCTCAGACAAGGAAAGACATAGGGTCCCCTGCTTTTTGATCTGTTTTATTGCTGCCCATTCCCATCAGCAGAAGAGCTGCTGAACCAATCCTGCATTTTTATGAGATCAACTGCCGTTGATATTTAAATATGCAAATATACACACTGACATCAGATTACACATCAAAATGAAGAATTTGTGTAAACATAGAAGTTTTTGTAAAAAAATAAGCATAAAGAAAAATTGACAATGTGAAAAACAAAAATGTTGGAAACCTGTTTCTGGAATTTTTAGGATAGCACCCACTTTTTGACACCCAAAAAGTGTCAAAAAGACACTTTTTGAAGGAAGTCTCCAGGAAGATCCCGGCAGAACAGTTAGTGACTGTGTGGTGTGAGGGAAACAGTGGGGGTAGAGAAGTGACAGCTCAACACTTCCTGTGCCTGTGAGCAGGCAGTGCCATTTGACTCGGTTTCCTCATCTCTGCAATGGGGATTCTAATGCTGTTTCATGGTTGAACTGAGGATTAAATAAGATAATACAAATACATAAACCATTTAAAACAGTGCCTCATCCTTACTGTGGGCAGGTTGATTAAACTCTCTGAGCTTCAATTATCCAATCTGCAAAATGGACAAAATTATACTCTTGAACTCAAGGCTTATCCTCATGCAGTCCAACTACAGGTTTTTTTTTTTTTTTTTTTCCAAATAATTCCAAAGAGTTCTGTGGATTTGCCTGATACTTACATGTTCTGCATGACCAACTCCTCAGGCTCAGGCAGCAAGTGCTATCAGATTGCGTTCGTTTTTCCCAGAGCAAGTTAAAACCAGTGGAGGTTCTTAATGAGTCCATTCACTGCATCATTGCTTCAACGGATCCTTCAGAGGTAGGTTCCTGAGATTTTTCAGTGCATAAAACAAAGAGTCCTACTTCCAGGGAGGATGCGTTCTGGAGGGAAGGGGTGGTCAGACCAGGAACTTCGAATCACATATATAATTAAATTATATGATCTGTTAGGAAGTGGTAAGTTCCACACCATGAGAGAAAGGTAGATGAGGGAAAGGAAGAGTAGCGACGAAATGCAGAAAGCAGGGGAATGTGGCAGGTTGCTGCGTGGGCATTTCATGGCATCCTTGGGGTGGGCCTTGTGTGGAAGGTGCCATTGAAACGAAGTCCTGAAGGAGGAGAGGGCATTAGCAGGTGCTATCTGGGGGAACGCGTTGCTGGCAGAAGAAACAGCAGAGCAAAGACCCCGTGGCGGGAGCATGCCTCTGTGTTTGACGGACAGCAAGGAGACAGACATGGTACATGGATGTGGTGGGTGGCCAAGGGGAAGTCTCCAAAACCCAACCCCAGGCTCTTGAGCTCTCTTCTTCCTTTGGATTTTTCATAAACACTGGGGCTAGTGGAGTCTAGAAAGGCCTTCTCCAAAGGGCAGAGTCCCATCATCTGACACCTTCCGTGAGGCCCTTCCTGCGCTATGCCATTGGGTGACACCATCTACATCCATGCAGGTGAAGCTGCTGGTCCCTGCCAAACCAATGTCTCTCTCCCACCATTCCTACTTTAGCCAGACAATTCCTGCTTCTGGAAGTCAAGCTCAGCCTCTCGAGCAGCCTCCTGAGGCCAAGCCAGAAAGGACGTGGGCTCCTGTCCCCCTGAACCCACAGTCACACTGCTTTTTCTCGTCCTGGGACATTCATACCACTGCCAGCAAGCTCTCCTTTGTCCACCTGTGAAAGATGCAGGATTCCTGCACCTCCAGTTCTCAGACAGGCTCTGTCGCCTCAGTGAGCCTAGGCTAGGAGTTTCAAATTGATAGGAGTTTCAAATTGATAGTTCAAATTGTGAATTGCCCAGAGGTTTCATTTGCCAGACAGAACATTACATAAAAAAAAAAAAAATACATTGGTCAAAGGATGGAAAATTTCAGTTAGACAGGAGGAGTAAGTTCAGAAGATCTATTGTACAACATAACATGGTGACTATGGTTAACAACAATGTATTGTATTCATGAAAATTGCCAAGAGAGTAGATCCCCAATGTTCTCACCACACAAAATAAGAATGCGAGGTAATGAATATGTTAATTAGTTTAATTTAGCTATTCTGCAATGCACACATAATTCAAAACATCATGTTGTACACAATAAACATATACAATTATATAACCAACTCATTTTAGTTAAAATATAAATTTAAAAGAGGTTTAAAAAGAAGGATTTGATTGTGCTTGGTGGGCAAGCAGTTTCCTCCCATGGCAGGGAAGCCCTGATGGGCTCTATCTCTACATATCATCATGACCATTGAGGCTTTCAGGCTGGGAATCATACGAGCTGCCCACTTTGCCCAGGAGGCCAGGGGTGAGGAATCTTTGAAATCTCATTGATGGCTCAACTCATCTGTGGAGGGTCACACTCATCTCTCCTACTAAAGTAAAAGAAAATGATTAAATGAAATAAAACAGAAGATACATCACTGGTCAGTGACCCTTTCTTATTTTAAATGATGGCCTTTTCCTCTCGAGAAGAGGGTTATGGGTCGTGAGAGGCCTGTGGAGGTCATCTCCTCTGGCACCAGCCTTTCATGGATGAGGACCCTAAGACACAGAGAGGTCAGCTGGCTTTCCAAAGGTCCCTCGGTTGGTGGCCACGCTGGGACCAGACAGAGTCCAAGCCTCCTGCCTCCCAGCCCAGAACTTGTTTTAAGATTTTACAACTCCAAAACGCCCTGTTTTTTCCTCAAGCACTTTACTTTTAGTTTGCTTTTCTTTCGGTCCCTTTACTAGATGTAATTTTTCCCTCTATGTTCCTCTTAACTCCAGGCCAACTAGTTCATTCTGCATTGAAAATAAGTCACATATTCGCTACTGTCTACAAGGCCCTGTGCAAGAGCTTGGGGGAAATTGCAAAAAGAAGTTTCAACCCTCAAGACATAAATTCTAGGAGAGACAATCATTAAAAATGCACATAAACATAATGCATGTGCTGTAAGGAGCATGCTAGGAGCTATTTAGGTTGTAAAGTTCAAGGACAGGAAAATTTTGCTGAAAGAGAAGGGATAGAGAAAAGTGAGCTTGTGGCAGGCTAAGCTAGGTTTTCATCTAACGGCTCCATTTATGAATAAAAAGCTCTGTTTGGAAACTCACCTTGTCACTAAGAACTATCAACACTCTGGGTTTCCATGTTGGGAGGAAACGCTCTGGCTGTCACAGGGATAGGGTGTGGATATTTTTAAATGACAGCTTGAAGAAAGCCTCTCTGTTTTCCATGCAATTCCCATTCTGGGGTCTGAATGAGAGCCCCACATCGCCTGTAAGTTGATCTTTCTCCTTGAAGTTACTCTTCATAAATTTTCTTGGAGTCCAGGGCCTCGTCTTTTGAATATATGAGGTGTCTATCAAGGCAGCACGGACAACACCATTTAACTATGCAACATGGAACAAAACAAAAAGTTTTCTTCAATATTACTAGAGAATTTATCCAATGGAGCATTTGGGCTTCACATACAATATAATATGATAACATCTATGGCCCTGGATTGAAAAATAGATACAATGTTTCCAGGCTGAATTCAATCCTATTTCCTATGATCCTAAGGTATTATGCATACATCTATTACTCAATAATAATTCACCCAGCACATACTATGATAACAGGTAATATAATAAATATTGAGGGTACAGAGATTTAATGAGAAATCGACATAGCATTCTTATTAGTATTGAATATAATATTATGTCCATAATTATAATGCACTGTGGGAAGTATGATAAACCCTAAAAATCTAATTGGTTAAATGCAATAGAAGTTCATTTCTCATCCACCTAAAGTCTAAAATGTGAATTTCTAATTATCAGGAGACTTTCCTCTAATCAGTAATTCAGAGATCCAGGTTCTTCTCACCTTATGACTCTACCATCTTCAACATCTGACTTCCAAGTTTATCTGGGTTGTCAACAAAAAGCTGACAGGGGAGGGGAGCATGAAGAAGGTGCATCTACCTTGAAATTTACCTTGGCTTAGAAGTTGCCACTTTGTCTTTGTTCATAATCCATTAATTACTTTTAGCTACTAGGGAAGCTGGGAGATCAAGTCCCTGGCTGGGCAGCCACTTTCCAGCAACAACTCTGCACAATGGAACAGGAACAAGAACTGCTGGTGGACAGCTACCTCCTGTGCTACTGTCCTGAGTTTGGTGTGGGTAGAGGTAGCGATTTCCAGCTTCTTGTGTGGCTGGGTATAACAGCCACACGACTAAGTTCTGGCCAGTGGGATAAGCATGGAAGTATTGTGGGACTACTTCCAAGAAACATCTTGGTATCAGCTTGAATTCCTTTGTCCCTTTCCTCTTCATCCCCCTCTGCTTTATTGGAAGTGAGAGCTGGAGTCCCAGTTACCATCTTGGACCCTAAAGTTGAGGACCACATCCAGGTTGATAGAGTAAAAAGTTAAAAAATGCTTGAGGATGTGGAAGAGTTTTTGGAGCAGGAAGAATGACCTGGGCTACCTACCTCAGATTTTTATGTGAAGAAGAAATAAATTTCAATCTTTTTATAGCACATGTTACGGTGGGATTTGTTAATTACAACTGAACCTAATCTTAAGTGGTTCAAATGGTAATGCTTGCAAAGGCTTGGAATTATATTGAGCTTGCAATTACATGGGAGTTCTGAAAGTGTTGAGAATCTCATGTTGTTGTAATATAAGGTGCATGGCCCAGGGCAAGGACAGGCCAACATTTTCCATAAAAGGACATCTAATAAATACATTAGGCTTTGCAGGTCATATGATCTCTGTAGCAATTTCTCAATTCTGCTATCGTGTTGTGAAAGAAGCAATGGAAATTGGTGTAATGGAATGAGAATAGCTGTGTTCCAATAAAACTTTATTTATAAGAACAGGTGGAGAGCTGGATTTGATCTGCTTAGAGGATAATCATGCTGGATTATCATTGGTGATTTATATATGAGTTCCTCAATATTGTGTGTATGTGCATGTATGTGGTTTTTCCAGTTATATAGACAGGTATGTAACATAGTGTCAGGCAAAGAATGTAGGTTTGATTGACATCTGACTCTGAGCAGGTGAATGGGCTAACCCAGTCCTCTAGCTGTGCTTGTATATCTACTCTGGGTGCTGAGGTACTTACCACCTAATTTACTACTACTGACAGATTCCAATTTTGACCTATAATAGGAGCTGTCAATGTTTTAACCAAGAAAGAGACTAGTGGTAGAATGTTTCTAGAAGCTCAGCAGTCAATAAATGTGGAAAAGTTTTTTTTTTTTTTATCCTTAGGTGGCAGAGCCTTTTAGCATTTCTTTCTGCTAATAGACTTGAATCTGAACTGAGAGATCTCTCTCTCCTCCTAGTAGGACATTATTGTAGCAAGAAAGAAGATGTTTCAGTGTTTGGGGTGTATCTGTTCATGAGATGTATTTGTTCATGATGAAAGTACTTTGAAATAGGGACAGAAGTTCTCATTTATTTTTTTATTAATGCTGTGGCAAAGTGGCAGAAAAAAAAAAAACAATTAATCTTTTTACGTCTTAATATCCTCACTTTAAAATGGTGGCAGTGCTATTGACTTGAGATCTTTGTTGTGGGAAGTAAGGGAAATTTAATCAAGAATGCAAAGTGTCCATGTAATGAATAGGGGCTAAATGTGTGCTTGTGGTTCAATGGGAGCTGCAAAGGAATTATATGGGTTTATTTCTCAACACTACAATCAGAAATGATAAATGATCTGACCCATCTGTTTTGCTCAAACTAGTGAGAAACATTTATGTAACAAACATTTATTAAATTCTTCCCATATGCCAGATGATATTATATAGATTTGAGTTGATTCCTGAAGTGGGGAATCTAATATAATTGGTAGCATCTCATGGGGCTCTTTGTATGAGCTGTAGGAAGATGTTTGTAATGAGCTTGTAGATCTTTAGGTCATGGCCAACTGCCCAGTAGTCAATGCATAAGGAAACACAGAAGAAAGACATTCTAAATGGTGGAGAGGGCAAAGTGACCTTTGCAATTACATTAAGGCGTAAAAGAATTGGAATCATTGATCCACAGTTGGGAAGCACACAGACAGGAAGCAACCAGGTCAGGAATTCAAATGCTTAAACAAAATTGGGTCTAAATGGATCAAAAGTGAGTGTTCCTCAAATGTGTCTAGATTGTCTCATATTGGGACTTTGAACAAACATTTGGGGAATTGGCAAGTGCAGAGAATCTGCAGATGTTTTCCATATACACAATATATCTTAGACAGCTGAGTAAACCTTAGGATTCAGGAAATGCTCAGACATACAGGGAAGTTGTTTAGTGGAGAAAAATCTGTTTGCTTTCCTGACACCCTCTCTCTTGTCTAAATCAATTATGAACATTCATCTAACCCGCCCATATAGGTCATAGAAACTTGCACTGCTAAGAACTCTGAGAAGGTCTGGAAGCTGAGAACTATTAACTAAGCTTTTATCATTAATTGTTATGCTTCTTTTTTTCTTCTAAGCTTTTATTGGAAAAATTTCCCCAAAGCTATAATTACACTGAACAATGACAGAACTTATTTAATGAAGCAGAGAGCAGAAACTTTTTGAGACAGCGAAATTTGCAACTACTTAAATATTAATGAAAAATAGTCTGTCTCAATCCTTTTTTTTCCACACTTTTCATCTCACGCTTGCATTTAGTCTATAGAAAGTTCAATCATTATTTATATTAGAATTAGTGGAATAAAAATGTATGAATAATTTTATGATTTTCCCAAGAGCAATTTTTCTGTACCAATTGAGCATATGAATAAAAACAAGTTTAAATCACAAAAAGAATAATACATTTCTACATTATTAAAATCAATGCTCTAAAATGGCCACTGCAATGAAGATAACTTTTATATCTATGTTTTTTTTCCAGGCGTTGATTTCATTTAAAAATTTTTATATCTGTTAGTTGTAGAATAGATAAGTTTTGATATTATATAGGGGTATCATCTCAGTCAAGTGATATTTCACAAATTTCCCAGATATTTTATTACATGGAGTAGACATGTTATATTTGCATAGAATATGCAAATTCCCCTTTGATTCTATAAATGGCATTCAAAAAACCCAAACCTTCTTGCCATACAGTGACATGAATAATTTTAAATGATATAAAGTGCACTATAAGCTATCAAATGAGTAGACTGTGTATGGTAGCTAAGCATTGATGACAAAAGGGCACAGCAAACCTTCAGGTGCACAGATTTCCTGGGTCCCATATGGACACCAAGGCAGGATTGCTGTCTTGTTTAGTAAGTTCACAGAAGAATGCCTGGAATAAAACAAACAAATTGAATAAATATTCTTAATGACAGTCAAGGCTATTTCCTATATCTTCTGCATTTTACAAAAAGCTCCTTTTTGTAAAGCTCACTCCTCCAATCTGGCTCCTTTCTACGTTGAATCCCTGAATATCATTGTGTTGTTATTTGTGTTATGCTTGGGTTTGTCCACTGGAAATATTCATCTTTAACAGCAAAGGGTCATCAAAGGCAAGCAATATTCCTATCCAACCCTCACCAACACAACAGGAAAATATTTGGAACCATACACAGCCCGTTATTAATACCACTGAGGAGATGAACGAAACAAAACAATAAAGGCTGAAAAACAGACAACTGGAGTCATGTTTGACCAGAATGGGGACTGAAGGATAACAGTGGGGCATATATATAGCTTTGACAGGTTTTCTGAGACGTTTTCAAAAAAGGAAAACAAAAGATTTGTTCATTGTTTTTATTTCATCAAATACGAATGGATATAACTATTCCATTATAATCACAATGCAGTTGTGTACAACACAGTACAATGGGGTACTTTGCTTTGAAAAATTCTAAAAACATTATCATCAGCTTCCATTGTGCACCTTGGTGTTAATATCTTATCATTTCCCATCTCGCTACATTGCAATTTCTCATAGCATCTCCCTCCATGGGCTAGAGGGCTCCACTCTACAGCGACAGTCAGTCCTACTAGGTCCCTGTGCCTTTTCCATCAGGTGTGGTATATTTGCCTTTCTTTGCTCAAAAATAGAGAAAATATAATTTATCAACACAACTAGGCCGGGCACGGTGGCTCACGCCGAGGCCGGCGGATTGCTCGAGGTCAGGAGTTCGAAACAGCCTGAGCAAGAGTGAGACCCCTGTCTGTACTATAAATAGAAAGAAATTAATTGGCCAACTAATATATATGGGAAAAAAATTAGCCAGGCATGGTGGCACATGCCTGTAGTCCAGCTACTTGGGAGGCTGAGGCAGTAGGATTGCTTAAGCACAGGAGTTTGAGGTTGCTGTGAGCTAGGCTGACGCCACGGCACTCACTCCAGCCTGGGCAACAAAGCAAGACTCTGTCTCAAAACAAACAAACAAACAAACAAACAAACAAACAAACAAACAAACCACAACTAGGCAGTGGTTCTTTGTAAAAAACCCTAAAATATGCATGCTTTTGGCAACAGTAAGAAAAAATGAGAAATTCTTTGATAAACAATATTAGGACCAGAACAGGGGGCATAAAAACATAAACAGTAAAAGATTCAAAATCCATAGACTATTCTGAACAACTTTATGCCAGTAAATTTGAAAACCTACATAAAGCAGATATTATTCTAGAAAAAAAATCATACGTTTACTTAAAAAAGAGAAGACATCTGAGTAAACTCCTAGTTGTTAATAAATTAAATAGGTAATCAAAGTTTTCCTTAGCAAGTGATGCCAGGCTCACGTGGTTTTCAGGTGAGTTTTACCAAACCTTCAGAATACAGGTAATTCCCACGCTAAATAAAAAAAAATTCTGAGAATAGAAAAAGAGAAGTTACCTAACTGATTTTGTGAGCTAATGTAATTTCAGCACCAAAACAAGAAAATTTTGATTCACTACTTACGTAGATTAAATATTCTCAATACCATATTAACAAATAGAATTTATCAGTGTACACTGCAGCATTGATTTTTATTAGCCTTAAGTTGTTGTTATAGTATATATGTCTTGGTAACCAGTGGGCAAGACAGACACCCCACACAGAGACTGGGACAGAGGAAAGCAAGTCCACGGAGGCAGCGGGATATGGAAGGCAGCATCCAACCTAGTCTTTGGTGGTCAAGAGGAGATGACAGCCAAGATTTAAGGGTTATTCAGTAAGGATAAGGACATTCTAGGCTGAAAAAGTAGCAAACCACCGCATACAGAGTACAGGGCAGGTGTGGGACACTGCTAGTGAGTTGGCTATGGCAGGACTGGGGCAGGAGGTTGGCTGAGCTGCTAGACCAAGGCCATTCCAGGGAAGACCTCCTGTTCACGGCGGTCTAAACTGACTTCTCCATCCATGCTGCTTTTGCTGCATCTCCCCTGTTCCTCCACCACCCCCTGGGCTCCCTCAGCACCGGCAGAGGCAATACCAGTCATTCGCCTCCTCTCAATCCTCTGCCTCTCAGAACTCAGCCCCGCTCTGCCAGCAGGAGTTGCTCCCACGAGTCCAGAACAATCGCCCTTGTTTTAGCCTCCTCTCTGCCCGCTCTGGAGCTTGCAGATGGTGGGCCCTCGGCACCTCCTGGCTGACTAAGGGACGGCATTTTGTCAAAGTACTCGAACAATTAGCTAACTTTGACACGTGGCTCAGCTGTCTAAGGGAGAAAACTGGAAACTGGCCCATTGCAAAGTGATGGGAGAACTTGGAACAGAGAGCAGGGCCGGAAACAGACTAACCCACACAACGGAGCTGTGCGTGCATGGGGGCTCAGCACCCCTCCTGCTCAGCAGCAAGACTGCACAGGGCCACACGGTCGGCTTTGGAGTCAGAGCCCCAGCCTGGAGCCCAACCTGCTGCCGATTAAACAAGTGACCTTGACCCCGTTGCTGAAACTTTTTGAATGATGATCTCCTTACCTGACTACAGAGAAAATGCACACTCCGCACGGTTGCTGTAAGAATCACACAAAACGCAGCCTGTGAAAGTGCTTAAAAGTCCGCAAGTTGTCACAGCCATTTAATTACCGAGCTGGCCTGGTTGGGCAAGAAAGACAAAGCACATTGAGAAACAAAATCCAGACTAATTTAAAGCGAGGCACAACAAAAACTAGCAGAAAACAGGACATGATGTCAGGCGTCAAACCTTGGCATACTTTCCAAGTTTAGAGCCGTTTCCCATAAAGGAATATATATAACCCAGTGACTGGAAACTTTGGCCAAGTTTCCGTTTCCTTTCCGTCCTTGCTGAGCTCCACTGGGTGCTCTGCAGCGTGGCTCCGGGGTCCTGTGAGAAACCATTAGTCCCCGGAAGGGCGACTGGCCCTAAGGTTCATGGTTATCATCCTTGAAGTTGAAGAGGTGATGGGAGATGTCACTACGTTTCCTTAGAGCAGATTTCTGCAGTTAGGAGTCACCTCCTCTCAATCCTTTGGCCTCTCAGAGCTCGGCGACAGCTCTGTGGGCAGGAATGCAGAGGGCAGCCTGCAGCAGGGGGTCTTGGGCAGCCTGTGGCTGTAATCGGATGAGACAGTGAGCTGAGGACATGCCTGTTATTTGTTTCACAGTAAAAGTTGAAAATGGCGGCGATGGATCTTGTCAGACAAGAACTTAATAAAAATTTTGAAATTTTCCATAAAACCAGATGTTGTATAGTATCATTAAAATTTAGTGAATTATTAACTCCTATATAGACTTTTATAGACGTTAAGCATTTTATTATGGATTTTTATCTTTCAAGGGTCTAAATTGATCTAAATTTCCCAAAGAAAGGCTAAGAATAAAGAAAGGAGCAGGAAGTAGAGGCAAGTGGTTACAAGAGAGGAGTTGTTCATAATTTCGGAAATGGGTTATCACATTCATTTGTGTACTTCTGCATGGCAATTTAGAAAGATTTACCAAAACCAATTTTTACTACAATTTTGAAATATCTTAAAGCAAAAACACAATCTTCAATTTTTGTTGTTTTTTTTTTTTTGTTTGGTTCCTTTGCTTTTTGAAAAATTGTTGCTTTTGGAAAAAGGGTTACCGGAACCATTCTTGGTTTTTTTGGGATTGCGGTTTTTTTTGTTTGGTTGCTTTTTTTCCAGGCCCTTTTCTTTTTTTTCTGCACGCTAGGAGCTTGAGATTTAAAGCAAACTTGAAGCAGCTCTACCTTTGTCAGTTGAGGCTCACAAAAGCCCAACTATCCTCCTTATCTGTAAAATGGGATTAGTACAGAACCCATCTTACAGAGTTTAATAAGATTCAAAACAGTATGACATGTTAAATACTTAGCACATGTATAGCACTTCCTAAGGTCCTTGATTAATTGTAACTATGATGAACTTTACCACTGCTAGGGTGGTAGCTGTAGACTTTACTTGAAACTTTGACTCTTACTCTGTTCTTAAGTAGACATGATAAACTATAGCTAATTTAAACTGCTGTGTTTTATAAAATGAAAACAATCAACAACTTCGAAAATATCATCCTATCTTGATTATACAGAGCATAGGCAATAGCGGTGTCTAGTGAGCATGAAATGGTTTCTTAGTCCCAGGTGGGAGATGTTGCTAGAAATAGAGAACATTCCTCTCTGGCCCTTATAGTTCAGAAGACATTTGAAAGTGAAGTAGGAGGGGAAAATTAAAGTGCAGAACTAAGCACAAGCCATTCAGATAGAACCCAGACTACGGCTTCACGAAGTGTGCAAGGAGGGTGGCAACGTGCCTCCCCCCACGGAAGGCAGGCAGAGGGAATTTGGAGGGGAATACACGAGAAAGTCCAGCTCCCTTAAACAATTTTTGTGCGCTTGCAGAATAGCAGTGGAAATACAACAGCGCAACTGAAGCGGTTCGCATGGGAGCCCCTAGAAGGGAACTGGGCCATCAGTGAGGCTAAGAATTAGCCAGAGTTAAAATGCTAGTGACAGAGGTCCCTAGTGCAGATGAGCTGGGACACAGGCACAGAGAGCAGACGTACCTCAGTAGCTATTCACAGCCTAGGGAGCAGACACCGCTGCTTGTCACTAGGTGTAACTCAGGGGAAGACCTGGGCCACCAAGCATAGTTCATTGTATAAATTAAGCTGAGTGTTTTTTTTTTTTTTAACCCTCACTCAACCCCTCTGCTCCTACTTTTTAAATTCTTCTGAAGCTTAGAGTGAAAGATCTGCCATAGGTATGTTTAAAGAGAGAGACAGGACCTGAATGATTTTAATAGTATTTTTCAGACTCACCATTTGAGTGCCAAGACAGGGTGGCACAAGGTGAGGGGGCCAGGTTTGGGGAGGAACTGCTTTATTGGTTATCCACTGCTACACAACACTACTACTACAAACTGAGACGCTGAAAGCCACGCACACATTTATTATCATAGTTTCTGAGGGTCAGGAGTCTGGCCTGGGGTTCACTGCACCCTTTGTCAGGCTGCAAACCAGGGTCAGCCAGGGCTGAGTATGCAACTGAGGCTCGGCTGGGGAAGGAGCTGCTTCCACGCTCAGATGGTTGTTGGCTCCGGCCAACCACCCGCATCCTGCATCCTCGTAGGCTGCTGGACTGACCTAGGTTTCTTGCTGACTGTGTGCCAGAGGGGGGCCTCAGTTTCCCTCCCTGCAGCTCTGCCCGCAGGACAACCCACTGCGTGGCAGATTGTGGTTTCAAAGCCAAAGGAAAAAGAGTCTCTCAGTACGACAGTCATCACGACCTTAGGAAACACGGCCTCGGAAGTGCATTCCTGCCCTCTTGGCGGTATTCCATTAGTTGGAACCAAGTCCAAGGTCCCTCCCACGGCCAAGGTGGGTTGAATGAGAGCGTGCCTTCCGGGAGGAGTACGCACGCGTGCCTACTCAGAGTCTGGCCATCAAAACCCATGTGTCAAGAACTTTAAAGACATTGGATAATTAATCTTTTTACCTCAGTCTGAGGTATGTATCTTGGTCCATGGCAGCTTCCTCTAAACTGGTTTGTTTCCTTCTAGAAAATCGTCTCCAGTTCCATTTTGTGCACCACAAGCAGAATAACAAAACACGTATGATCACAGCCACGTTCTGTTAAAGTGCCCCTCCCACCACTTTAACCTGATACTCTTGGCCCTTCATTAAGTTGTCCCCCAACTACTGACGCCCATAGTGTTGGGGTGCCCCGGAGCCATGCCCACACTGCACAGTGTTCTTCCGCTCGGCCCTCCTTTGTGCACACAGCTGAGCCCCTGGTCCTGTCCCTCAGAGTGGTGGGAGGCACCTGGCCCTGGTTTCTACAGAGAGAGATCCTCCAGAGTTTCATCTGCCCGCAGACCCTGTCTTAGGACCCACCTTCCACAGCCCCAGCGGACAGAAAAGCAGAGACATTGAGGATGTAATCACACAAGAGGAGGTCTATTTTCTGGCTAGCCAGGGTCCAAGCCCCAGAGCGCCAATGCAGTGGCCACTCTCGCAGGCAAGGACCCCGACTGGAACAACGGCATGCCTTTTATCCCCATGGTGCACAAGCGGTGCACAAGCTGATCACGCGTGGATCATGCGTTGACCTTTAAGATGATTGGTTGCCCACTATTGCCTTTTGAAATAATTGGCGGGTTGGTTGCCCTCTATTGCCTGATAGGCCAGTCGCCGGTGCTTCAATGACCTCATCCCATAATTCCCCCTACAGAGGTATAACAAGCAAGCAATGACCAGAAGCAAAAGTTTGCGGTTAGTTCATTGCCCCACCCAAGTAAATTCCTGATAATTGGAAAAATTCCTCTGCCCTTCCTCTGCCCTACAAATTCCTCTGACCTTCCTCTGCCCTACAAATTCCTCTGCCCTTCCTCTGCCCTACACCTGGGCCTCCCCCACCTGCACATCACCGGGAGCTCTCCTCACCCCGCACTTAGAGCTCCCGAGTTTCAGTGGCGACAGCTCGGAGGCTGTCAGACCTCTTAGGATCTAACCCAGTGATGCCTTCTGGGGTCTGGTGCCAGTCCTCCACGCGCATTTTCTTCACCCATCATTGCCTAGATATGATTTCCCTGTTACACGGAGAGAAGATAGAAGCTTTGAAGCATTTACGTCGCTTTTCCTGGTCGGCCGGTGGGGGCAAGCTCGCTTCCAGTAAGGGAAGCATTTTGCATCTCAACTCCAGTCCTCCAAACACCAGCTATCCAACATTAATTTCCCTATATGCGACATTTGTGGAGTGAGGTTTGCTCATCTCTAAGGCCTTTTCTATCAGAATGGCATTACTCTGAAGAGCCTTGAAAGGGGTATCTATTTCCTTAAAATAATAATAATTCCTATGACGGAAGTTGAATCTGTAAGCATGTGAGCAAAGAAGCTGAATTGGACCAAGAAATCCTATGTCTGTTTAATTTCCCTTGATTACCTGTCTGTCTCCCCCTTTCTAAAGCACTGCCACCCTCCCCCACCTCTTACCAGCACAGCCTTCCATAGTCCATGGGATGGCTGCACATGCCCAGCCTGCCTGGCGTGCCCCACACACCGAGCCGTCCTCAGAGCGATACCTGTGTACTTCCGGGAGTGGATGCTGCCCTCCGTGCAGGCTAAGATCTGAGGGCCCGAGCTGTTCCTACAGGGGGCCAATGCATCCTGGAATTCTGGGCGTTACCTCTCCTGGGTCAAATAGATCAATGGAAATAGGGGACGGAAGGAGCTAGCAGGATAAAGCCCCCTCCTGCCTTCCTCCCGTGTGCTGCTCCAAAGCTCAGACACTCGCCGCAGTTTTCCTGGACAAGGCCTGGGTGCCTGATGAATGCGGCCTGGAGCTGCTGCTGCAACTTCAAGGCTCACCAGGAGACACGGTGATGTGTCACTTCACCGGGTGTCTCAGATTTCTTTGCTTTTTCTTCTCTTTGTTCTCTCTATCCTGGGTTTGCACCTTCCAAATAAAGCCTTAGGCTTTGTTTTCCAGATGACTCAGGCTAAGATAGAGGCCCAACTGTGAAGGCCACTCACGTCCTCACCCTGGCGTATTGCGGGATGGAACTGAATTACACACATTCAATCCCAGCAACAAGCATTTCAAGGAATGCCGAGCGAGCTTGCAGCGAGACCGAGTGATGGAACAGAGCACTTGAGATTTCAAGGCAAAT